TTTAAAAAATTTCTATTTTTGTAATGAAAAAATTAAAAGTTAATTCCGGCCGGAAATTAGTAAACAATTATGTAATGTGGGCCAAAATTTAGAAGATCCTCGGCCGTTAGCCAATCAAAATCGAGGATCTGCCGGTCCAATTTTGTTGCGGTTAATTAGTCCTGTGCCATCTGATTTGACCTAGTCAGTTCGAGATAAACATTTGGTAGTACGAATTAATGTTTATTACATAACTTTTAATTTGTCTATCTGATACGTATTAAAAAAAAAATGCTTCCATCTGTCCAAGTACAACGACATATCCTTCGGCTTACACCCGAAAGAGCCAGACTGTGGTAAGTTTTCATCCAACAGACTTATTAATACGAAGATAAACAATATCATTTATTGAAGCTTCTGCGAAACTATATAATAATAGGTCAACTGCAATTGTCGGTTTCGGTGTCGTGACAGGTGGTGCACTCTTATTTATTGGTGAAAGAATCCCAAGAGTTCGTCAGGATATATTACAAAAAATTCCGATTATGGGCAATTATTGGTCTACTGAACAAAAATAATTAATTACTGCTTTATAATACGTTGGGTGTTCAATCATTTTTGACGTACTGTACGTACCTCCGATTTTTTTTGTTATATAGTTCAACTATAAATATAGCGGACACCATATATTGGTTTCATGGGTTTGACGAACTAATAATAAAGTACCGAATTTTTAATAGATGATTTAAAATTATTGTAACGGATTTGATAATAAACTCAGTATTTTATTAAGAGTATGCAATTCTATTTCATATCTATTTCATGAACACAATTTAAACAACCTTATGGTTGAATTAAACCTTAAATTATAAATACCAACTAACCCAGCTTTTTGCAACTAATGTCCAAATTACTTATATTTGGTAAATTTTTATCTTTATATTAATACTGAATTAATATATTACCGAGTGGTATTTATATCCACTTATCATGATTGTTTTCTTTTTTAACCTTTTTCTTCTAGCTTTCTAAGCAGAAGAATTTATAGTCTTCAACTAACTAATAAAAAAAAACTAATAAATGAAATAAAAAGAAATTGAAAAAAAAGAAAAAAAGTTATACTGTCTAAATAAAGACCAAAATAACAATAAAAAAAAAAAACAATCTATAATAAACACACTATTATAACTTATATCAAGTATAAGTATAAAAGTTAAGAGGGAGAGGGGTATTATAGCAAAGTTAAATATTTTTAATCATATTACAGTATTACATGATACATTGATCAAAATCAAATAATTTTAGTATTATCTAATTTGTCTTATTGAGCTAAGTTGAAAATCATTTGACTTAGATCATTGTTGAATTATTTTTTAAAAAAATAAGAAAATTTTAGCTATAGAAGTATTGTAACAAATCAGGATTATCTTGAGATCTCATGATTTTAATTAAATGAAATTTATATCATTTGATTTTTCTCTATAAAAGGAATTGAATAGTATAAATTTCACCAATTCTGATTACTAGATTACAAAATATCCTGATTAATTATAATATTTTTAGCTATTGTATTCTATATATTATAACAAAAAGGAATTATAATAAATCAGGATTATCTTATAAGCCTGTAATCAAAATCAAATAAAATTTGCACAATTCAATTTTTCTCAAAGAGAAGAATTGAAAAGTATATATTTTATCCAATTCTAATTATTAAATTCTAATAATCTAATTTATTATAATACTTCTCTTTGCTATAATATCCTTTTAACTTTATATAACAAATATATATATTATTATAAAATACTTTAAACTTAAAAAATTATATAGAGGTATGGTGACTTAGTGTAGTAGTCTAGTTGTCACCCTTTCCAAGTGGCAGATCTAGAGTTCGAATCCCATAGATGACGATTTTGAAAAATAGATCTGCGTCACAGTTAACGGTTGTCGATTATTAGTTGGATCTTAATCTGTAATCTCGGTCACACCATCTAGTAATAGGAGCTTTGGCACAATAAATCTGAGGAACCGGAATAACCAAAAACCCATTTGGCAAGTTCCGAGTTGGGATGTAGCAATGATCTTTGA